TCCCAACACAGGGGAGAAGGAGGCAGTGGGGGAGAAAGACAGATCTTGTTTAAATAACCTTTTGCCTGAACTGAATATGGATAGGCCTGCAAAATATTCTGAACCCTTTTTCTTTTGAGACGGAGTCTCACTCTGTTGCCCAGGCTGCAGTGCAATGGCATGATCTGGCTCACTGCAACTTCTGCCTCCTGGGTTCAAGCTATTCTTCTGCCTCAACCTCCTGAGTAGCTGGGACTACAGGCACATGCCACCATACCGGCTAATTTTTGTATTTTAAATAGAGATGGGGTTTCACCATATTTACCAGGCCGGCTTCGATCTCCTAATCCGCCCGTCTCGGCCTCCCAAAGTGCCGGGATTACAGGCGTGAGCCACTGTGCCTGGCCTCCCTGAACACTTTTCTGGCAGATTTTTGTCATGTGTTCCAGATGATTTCTTCGAATCAGGAATATTTTATCTAGCGAACACCTATGCATCTTCTGTTTCTGCTCTCAGTTGTATGGTGCTTGGAGAGTAGTGCTCTGGTTTCTATGCAAGGTAAAGTTTAAGGCCTACACCCAAGGAAATACGAAGCAATGCTTATTAGCAGAAGTGTGTAGTGTGAAACATGCAAAAAAGTCCACAGGCCTTGTCAAGGGAGAACGAAGTGCCCATTCCTGAAGCTGAGCCTGGAGGACCCAGCTAAAGAGGGGCTGACCAGAACACATCTGCAGAAAAGGGGGTGTGTTATGGGCTGACTCATGTCCCTCCAAAATTCCTATGCTGAAGTCCTAATTTCTAGTATCTCAGAATGTGGCTATATTTGCTGATAGGAACTTAATGAGGTAACCAAGCAAAAACGAAGTCATTAGGATGGGCCTTAATCCAATCTGACTGGTCTCTTTCTAAAAAGAGGGAATTTGGGCTGGGCATGGTGCCTCATGCCTGTAATCCCAGCACTTTGGGAGGCCAAGGCCAGCAGATCACTTGAGGCTAAGGAGTTCAAAACCAGCCTGGCCAAGATGGTGAAACCCCTTCTCTACTAAAATACAAATACTAGCCTGGCGTGATGGTAGGCACCTGTAGTCCCAGCTATTAGGGAGGCTGAGGCAGGAAAAACACTCGAACCTGGGAGGCAGTGGTTGCAGGGAGCCAACATCTCACCATTATAACACTCCAGCCTGGGCAACAGAGCGAGATTCCACCTCGAAAACAAATAAATCAATCAAATAAAAATAAAAAGAGGAAATTAGGACACAGGAACACACAGTGAAGACCATGAGAACACATGGGGAGAAGCTGGCCACTGCAAGTCCAGGAGAGAGGCCTCGGAAGAAACCAACCTTGCTGACACCTTGATCTTGGACTTCCAGCCTCCGGAACGGAGGAAATAAATTGCTGCTGTTCTGGCCATCAAGTTTGTGGTTCTTTGTTATGGAAGCCCTAGCAAACTAAGGCAGGGTGCAACCAAAAACCTACTTAGAGTGATGTCCCAGAGAGAGCCTGCTCTCTGAGCTCTCCACTCACAGAGTGAAACCTCATTAGCACCACTCCTTAGCGTAGCTGGGCTAGTTTTCTAGGGCTTTGGCATACCTTTTCTTGCTATTGTGTCATCCAACAATGACTAGACGTTCTTCTTTAAACTGATCTTAATAATTTGTCTTCACCTACTGAACGTGTGTAGAAATTTGTCAAGCCTTCTGTTAGTTACTTATCCAAGCCACTCCTATTTCTCCCTTTAAAGTTCACCATGTAAGTCCCTTCTTTTAATACGTGAATTTAAATTGCTAATGCTCTACTTGTCTAGCTGTTCTTTATAAAGCAGCATTTGGGGGTGTTTATCTTTTCAACTTAGAAAAGTGAAGGGATTCATTGTTGAATTCTTGTCTTCTGCCGCTCTCTGAGCTCTGCTGAGCGTGCGTACAAACTAGCTTGGGGGCAGCAAATACATAGGGGCTTTATGTTTGGAGGGGCTCTATGTAGGGATATGGAAATATTCTTTGTGGTCCAGAAAATATTTCAGAGCACAATTCATTGCCAGATTGATGTCTTTAAGTGAATACAAAAGACAAAGAGGACCAGGGGAAGAAAAATAATTCAATGGATAAGTAAATAACTCAATGGGTTAGTATCTCCATGGAGACCATAAAATGCATCATCTCTATGGAGACCCTCATAATCTCCTTCTGGACTTACGGTAGGGTATAATCTGTTGTAATTATACATTGGGGGTAGAGGGAAAGTAACGAGAGGAAAAGGCTAAGAGGATGATCCTTTTCTTTCCTTGGTGGACGTGATAGCTACTGCCACTCTAATCAATTATAGTATTGTAGACATCCAAAGTTAGGATTCTGGGAAACCAGTTAATTAGGATGGGGTAAGAGGTGCCTTTGGATCTAATATTTATATGCCCAATACTCAGCTGGGTATCTGACATGCATTAACAGTTGGTATTCAAAAAAGGTGTGAATGAATGAAAGTAATAAGCAATTGCACTGGATCTGATCCTGGGCTCAGCCCCTGTCCATCATCTCCATTCTGCAAAAACGAAGGAGGTAGAGACCTACTGCCCTGGGGAATACTCGGTACTGTCTGCAAACGGCCAAACAGAACCAGTAACTGCCCTGTGGCTTCCTTCCTTCTTTTTGATGAGAATGGTGTTCAACAGCATGAACACGGCCAAAGGAGGAAACGAGGGTCAGCCACGGAGAGGAGATAAACATGTTCAGGGCAACAGACCAGCTAATGGATGCAAGTCAGTGTGTCCAGAGAAGTTATATCCTGCTGGAACCTCCTTGTTCTGAGCCTCACTAGCCTCGGGACACAAACTAGGATTCCAGTTTCTTTTTTTATACCTAGAGTATTACGGGGCCTTTGTCCCCCATCTGCTGTGGCTTACTTGCTGGCAATTAGCCCACTGCAAAGTGATTTCTCAGCATTGACCATGGCAATTCCTCGGATCAGCATCCAGACGTTTCTGACCATTTATCCCATTTCTTCCTCTTTATCTTGGTGCCAGGTTATTGCCCTGACTCTGCTGACCCTAGAAGAGTATTTTTTCCTGTCCCTTTTCTGTATTTTGACATGTTTAGATACACAAATATTTACCACTGTGTTCTAATTGCCTCCAGTATTCAGTATAGTCGAATGCTGTTCAGGTTTGTGGCCTAGGTGCAATAACCCATACCACACAGCCTAGGTGTGTACGTAGCGGGCTATGCCACCTAGCTTTGTGTAAGTACACTCTTTGATGCTCACACGACAAAAGCAACTAAGGACACATTTCTCACAATGTATACCCATTGTTCAGCAATGCACGACTGTGTGAGTGTATACCACATATATTAACATATTTATAGTAGTTTGAGATCAGACTATATACAGTTTTGTATCCAGCATTTTCTTTAATAATATATAATGAAAACATTTTCCCTATTACTAGTCATTTTAAATGACTACCTAGTACTCCCTGTATGAAAATACTATTATTTACTTAACTGCTGTGAGACTTTTCGCCAGTTCCCAGCTTCCCCGGGATTCTAAACATCACTTGGCTGGTCATTTTTTACCCGCATTCTTCCACACTTCTGGTTGTTGCCTTAGGATAGGCTCCTTTAGGTCGAATTCCTGGCTGCGCTGAAGAGTATCAACATTGTAAAGATTCACGTTCTTGTTCGTTCTGCTATTCATCTCTGCCGGTATCCATTTTTTAGGCGTCCAAAATTTACACACGATTTTAAGTTCCTGGATACCAGGGTTCGTACTTATCCAAATCTTGTATTTCCTTGCAGTCCTACTAGGGGTGGCAGGGCTCCTCAAGATGGGTGTACCAGGGACAGCCATGAAGGTATTCTAAGGCATTCCCTAGGACTCGGAGGAAAAACACGCATCTCTCCCAAGGGAAAGAAGGGATCAGATGTTAGCATCCTACTCCTTGTCCGATCCAGAGCACCCGGAGAAAATCACAAGGCATACCGCAGAAAATCTTCACTCCTTACCTTGGTGGAGGCCTGTACACTCTTGGGGGCTCACTTTGTCTGCCTAACTCACCAGCCAGGGTGCAAAATGGCCACTTAGGGGCCTGAGTGAGGTGCCAGCATCCCTACCATCTAAGGAGCAGCGAGTCATCTCTTCGGTGACCGCCGCTCTACCTGTTTGCAACTGTAACAAAACACTAGGCCTGGAGGCCCGCTCCATCCAGACGTTTCCCCGTCAGCAGCTGGAGAGAAGGTGGCTCCAAGGAGGAGACAGAGATGGTGCCGAGTGGACCCGGAGCTTCCGAGGCAGGGCAAAGAGAGGGAGACGGTTCAAAGTCCAGACCCGCTTTCCTTCCCTTCCCTTCCTCCCTGCCCTCTGCACCCCATTCTCCCCTTCCCGTGGGTGGGTGCCCCTGACTTGTCGCGGAGCCCAGAGATGGTGGGGTTCGGCCTCCTCACGGCCCCTCGCTAAGTTCCCAGCCGTTTTCGGTAACCAAAAGCGCTAGAAATTAACCTCGCTCGGCCTCTCCCCTTTCGGTTTCCTTCTCGGGTTGGCTGGAAACTTCACCCAGACACCGGAGCAGCTCTGCCTCGGCCTCCTGGCACCGGCCACCGGCTGAGGCCCCGCGACGCGCTCTCCCGCCCGAGGTGCCCCCGACCCCGACCCTGCCCTCAGGGGCTCGCCCGGGGCGCGTTTTCCCCGGGAACGCCAGAAAGGGTGGGCTGGCCGGCGGGAAGCGGGGGCCGGGCGGCCCAGGTTCACCCCGGCGCCCGCCCGGTGGGCACGCGGCCAGCCTCCGGCCCCAACTCCGTCCCTCCCGGCGCGCCGAGGCCCCCTCCCGGCCGCGCCGCCCACCCGCCGGCCGGGGCCTGGGAGCGCCGCGGGAGCCGCTGGGACCCGGGCCGGGCCGGCAGGCGGCGGCTGCGGCCTAGGGCTCCCGCGCGGCCACCGGCCTCTCCCCTCCCCCTCCCGGAAGCGCGGGGCGGGGTCCCCGGCCGGGCCGCGGGGGCGGGCGCGGGGGCCGGGCCGGGGCGGGACGCGTTCGGCGCTCGCGGGCTCGGCGGGCTGTGCGCGCCCACTCCCGCTCCAGCGGCCAGCGCGCGCCGGCCCAGGCCCGGCTCCAGCCGAGCAGCAGCGGCGGCGGCGGCGGCGGCAGTTCGCGCGAGGCCCCGCGCCCCCCGCAGCCCCTCCCCGGCGCCGTGCATGGAGACGCAGCCAGCCGCTCGCCGCTGAGCCCCGCCGCCCGGCCGGGACCCGCCGGGGCTGGGGTGGCCTCGGGCTCCGGCCGGCCCCGCCGCCCGAGGGCTGCGCGCGGCCCGCGGGCCTCGCTGCCCGCGCGGATCGCCGCGGCCCGGCCGTCCCGTCCCAGGAAGTGGAGGTCCCGAGCGCCATGGCTCACTCCCCAGTGCAGTCGGGCCTGCCCGGCATGCAGGTAGGCGGGCGCGGGCCGCGGGGCCGGGATGCGCGGCCGGGCCGGGGCGGAAGCGGCAACTTGGCGGCGTCCCCACGGCTCCCCCACGCTCAGCCGGCCAGGGTCGCGCCGGAGCCTGGCTCCCAGCGCGCCCAGCTCGGCGGGGGGTCCGAGTCCGAGCCCCGGGCGTCCCTGCGGGCTCCGGCGTGTGCGTGCCAGGGCCGTGAGGACCGCGGCCTGGGTCCGGATGTGGGGGCGCGGGCGCTCGCCCTCCCGGCTCCCCGCGCCCCAACACTTCCCCGGAGCTGCAGGCCCGGGCGGCCCTGTCCCCGGGAGAAGTGAGGCGGAGCGGTGCCCTTGGAGGCCCCTCCGGGTCCCCGGGCCTTGCGAACGGGCCGGGTTGACGGAGGCCCCAGGACGCGCCCCCCGGGCTCGTCCCCCACCCCCGGGCGGGCGGGAGACCTGGGCAGGGCGGGGACGGGGAGCGCGCCGGGACTCGTCCGGGCCCGGGCAGAGGAGGCAGGGCGGAGTTGAGGAAGGTGTAACCGCCAGTTTTACTTGCGGTGGCTTTGCCCTGAGCCCCCGGGCGCCTGCGGACCGGGGGAAAGTGCGAGCTGCAAACCTTCTGGAAGGAGGAATCCCTCGGACAGCTGCGCACCGGGGTCCCGGCCCCGCGCCCCTGTGCTTTCACTTTGAGACTTGGTTATATTTATAGGAGTTCTTCGCCCAGTAAACCTCTCCTTTGGTACTTGGTGACATCGTGGCCTACCAGTGACTTTTTGGGGGATGGCGGAGTAGTTGAATTTCGAATTTACCTGAATACGTTAAAGGATGTTTTTTGTTGTTTTTGTTGCCGTGGGGGACTGCTTTTAGCCCTTCGAAAAACAAAACCACCGTCCTTGGCTAACTCTTGTTAAGTTTGTAGGCGCAGAAATGGTGGCAGAATGTTTGGGATTGAAATCTTAGGATACAGTTAGGGTATGTCATGAAAGTTTTGCTCTCCCTGTTTAGCTAAGTGAGTGAACGTGAAGTGTTTAAACAAAACCAAAAGCATCCAAGTAGATTATTCGTTGACATATAGAGACCAGCAGGCTCCTTCCCTGTGTTTTCAGGGCCGAGAAGCCCCGTGCCCAGACCTGAGGACTGGTTCTGGGTCTGCCCGCCTCTTCCAGTGAGATCAGCTTCTCTCCCTTCTGTTTTTGAAACCGTAAAGAAAAAACTGGATTTCACTGTTCAGGGTTGAATTCTGGAAAAATAGGAACCCAAAGTTACCAGTTTAATGGCAGCTAGAATTTTAGTCCGTGTGTGTGTGTGTGTGTGTGTGTGTGTGTGTGTGTATGTATGGTTTTTAGGAGTGACGGTATCTTGAGTGTGGCTGGAAAGATGCTTGAAGAATATTCTTTTATGGATTCATTTAAGGAGGGTTGAATTTAACATGCATCAAACCTAAACTGCTGACTGCTAGGTAACAATCAGATGTGGTTTCTTGGTATTTCCTAAAGCCACTTTGGTATGAGTTTAGAGGTGTGTGTAGGTCAGAGTGAACTGGGTGAAAAAAAGAACTTCTTACCAGTTGAGCAAGAAGGACTCGTGTAAGGATTATAAAAAAAAAAGGTTTTATCAGTATTTCCTTGAGATTGACTTTTTTTTTTTTTTTTTTTTTTTGAGACAAGAGTTTCGCTCTCGTTACCCAGGCTGGAGTGCAATGGCGCGATCTCGGCTCCCCGCAACCTCCTCCTCCTGGGTTCAGGCAATTCTCCTGCCTCAGCCTCCTGAGTAGCTGGGATTACAGGCACGTGCCACCATGCCCAGCTGATTTATTGTATTTTTAGTAGAGACGGGGTTTCACCATGTTGACCAGGATGGTCTCGATCTCTCGACCTCGTGATCCACCCGCCTCGGCCTTCCAAAGTGCTGGGATTACAGGCTTGAGCCACCGCGCACGCCCTATAACGTGTTCATCAGGTTGGAATCTAGCACAGATGCCTCACTTACTAGGTTAATTGGCCTTTGTGGAAAGCGAATCAATTTGAAAAGGCACTAAAGCCCCTTTGGCTGGTGCTGTGAAGTCAGTATCATATAGTTACCAGGTGATATCTAGTATCTCTATCTCACTTTTTCATTGTTGTCCTCACTTTTTTTTTTTTTTTTAAAGAGCGGGTCAGAGTTCTTAAATCTTGGGAAAAGAAGATAAATTTCCTTAATAACTTTGCCTCTCAACTATTATGTATCTGCTAGGTTGTGTTACTTGGGAACTGTTTATTTTGCTTTCTCAGTATGAAAGATGTTAAGTGTTTCTCAGAAAAGACGACCAGATTTTCAGCTGTTACAGTTCTGCAGTTTCAGAGGTAGGAAAGCTGGCTTCTGCCAGTCAGTCATTCCTGTACCTAAGCACATCTACAGACTGTCTGGTAACTGTGTCATTTGGGGAAGAACATTCCCCACCCCTAGAAAAGAAAAACAAGCACATTTGTTTTCTACTTCAGATTAGCAGTTGCTGCTGCCCTGGGAGGCTTTGCTAAGAGTTGTTGCTGAAGATTAAATTAAAAGCACTCCCGCTTTTGACCGTGGTCTGCTAAAATGGGAGGAGAGAAGTCCCTATCTCTTCTGTGGCTTGCCCTGATGGGCCTCATAGCCCTCCCTTTTTTCTTGTCTCCTGACCAGGGCTTGTAAAGAGTTGGCTCAGAAAGACAGCAGAGTGAATTCAGGTGGCCCAGGCAAAGATGCTTGAAAAATAACAACCAACCATATTAGTATATTCACCATATTTCAGTGTTTTGCAAGTCATTTTTATGCCTCTCAATTCTTACTGGTACTGTTGAGACGTAGATATTATTACACCATTTGGTAGATGTGGAGACCAAGGGAGACTAACTGAACCGACCAAGGTGAAATCATACATTATGTGGCAAATTTGTGATTGGAAACTTGGTCTTCCCTGACTCCAAGATCATACTCCTACTCACCATGCAGTTTTACTGTTTGATGGTTACTTTTGCAAACATTAAAGTTTATCTCATTACAAGTTGGATTGGCCAAAGAAATGAGAAATTTATTTATTCAATCAGCAGTCCTTATTGAACTTTCATGTGCCAGGTCCTAGGGGAGGGATTGAATAAGGTAGATCTGAATGAGGTTACCATTTTAAATCAATGTTAATGAAAGTTGCCAAAGCCTTTCCTTTTTTTCCCCCCTAAACCCCAGTTTTATATTTTAGTAGGGGTAAAAAAATAGAAATTATAAACTGAGTAAATGTAGTAACAGTGAATAAACATAGAGAAGTCAGGCTGATTTGTGGCTATACATACTCTTTCTTTAATTGAACATTTGTTGTTTCACTCAATTGAGATTAAAAGAAAAGCTTTGGATGGAGGCAGGAGCCCTGATGGGCTTTGAGTTTGCAGAAATTGTGATTTAAAAATGAGATTTTGATTTGCACATTTCTGTTACAGAATTTTATCACTTTTCTTTCTTTTTTTTTTTTTTTTTTTTTCCTCGAGACGGAGTTTCGCTCTTGTTACCCAGGCTGGAGTGCAATGGCGCGATCTCGGCTCACCGCAACCTCCTCCTCCTGGGTTCAGGCAATTCTCCTGCCTCAGCCTCCTGAGTAGCTGGGATTACAGGCACGCGCCACCATGCCCAGCTAATTTTTTTTTTGTATTATTAGTAGAGACGGGGTTTCACCTTGTTGACCAGGATGGTCTCGATCTCTTGACCTCGTGATCCACCCGCCTCGGCCTCCCAAAGTGCTGGGATTACAGGCTTGAGCCACCGCGCCCGGCAGAATTTTATCACTTTTCAACTTTTCTGGGCCATGAACCATGTAAGAAACATATTTTACATCAGCTCCAAAAACAAGTTTGGGGAGACAGTACTAATCCTTACTGCAGGTTGAGTATTCCTCATCCAAAATGCTTGGGACCACAAGTGTTTCAAATTTTGGAATATTTGCATTATGTACTTACTGGTTGAACATCTGAAATCGGAAGTTCTCCAGTGAGCATTTCCTGTGAGCATCATGTTGGCACTCAAAAAGTTTCCTATTTTGGATCATGTTGGATCAGGGATGCTCAACCTGTGCTTGTGATGTGCTGTTACGATGTATTTTAAAAAGGAGCTGCTTCCAGCAGTAGATTGAGTTCACAGGCCACTGGTTCATGACCCACAGTTTGAAAAATACTGAATTTTATATGTCACATGTATTGCATATTTCGGGGCCTGGTTAATTTACCATATTTTGAAGTTTTAACATTCGTATTTGAAAATACAGATAATTTAGAGGAATAGCTTAAAAACCTGAAGTTTCTCCTTGTTAACATCATCCTACCACCTCGTTCCCCTTTTGTTTATCTTGCTGCTTGGATAAATAGACCTTTGCTGAGAATGCCCCTTGCATCGGGATAGTGAGAAGGATGTCTGATGGCCAGTTTGGGATCATGGGGAGCTTTTCTCAGGCCCTCTGCTCACCCCAGGGAAGCCTGTGTGCTCTGGGAGTCTGGGAAATGAAGGCAAACACAGGACAGCTGCATTGAATTGTGGCTTAAGGGCTCCTGTCCTTTTTTTTTTTGTTAGTATCACGTTTCCACCAGTTCTTTTCCGTTCCTTCCTTAGGAGATGCCTGCCCAGTTACCCTGTTACCATTGCACTCTGGGGGAAGGTTGGTGTGTCACAGTGTGTGTGGACAGTCAGGACATTTGAGACGTTGGGGACTTGCTGAACTGTGGCGTGTGCTCTGGTGACTGACAGCATTGGACGGCACAGGATGGTGCCAGGAGCCATGGGAGGCAGGAGTTCAGAGCCTCAGTCCGTCTGTCATCAAGAGGTCTGCTGCCTGTTTTGGGACAAGTGCCCTAAGAAGGTTGTAGTGACTGAGGACACAGTGAGCAAAGGCACATTGTTGGAAAGCATGACATGGCTTCTGGTGGGCGTGGTTGGTCCTAGAGCTGGAGAGGCAGTGGGGTGCCTGTGGACTTGGGGGAGGCCTTGTGTCTCTAGGCAGCAGGCATCATGGCGCATTTTTG